TTTTTCCTACTGTTATCTCTTAAATTTTATTTATTATAGAATGTAATTTTTTGGTAAATAAAAAATATATTCCATATTCAAAATTTCAACAATGTATTATTTATAAAGAGGTTTTCTCGAACAGTCGTGAACTACAACAGCAAAAATTGATTTTATATTATTTTAATTAATTGCTGTTTCGAGTATTGCCAAATGTTCATCATCAGTGGTCTTGAAAACAATTCTTGTATTTTATTATTCGAAAAAATTTTTTTGAGACTGCAAGTACCAGGAATAGAACTGGCGCCCTGTCAAATGTGAAGCTCAGAGTCAGCGCTCCTTAACCAACTGACCCAAAGCCGTACTGGAATTTAGTTAATTTACTATGAAAGTTTCATTAACAATTTCACTTGCTTTGTTTATATTAGAACGAAATCATAAACCAGCTGTAGAACAATTGAATTAATTATATTTTCATTATTTTTAATTATTAAATTTTAATTCTTTTTTATTTATATATTAATTATATAATAAGTAAAAAGCATTAACTTTTATCTAATATCAATATCAACATCCATATTTAAAAGTTTGAATATTTTGAATATCATTTGAGGCTCTAGTCAAATTTAAAGAATTCATAAAACTAATATGAAGGCGTCTTACACTAAGACGTCTTAAGTATGCATTCACACTGCCTTTTTGCTCTGCTGCAATTAAACCTGTAAGTGAGTACGAAAATTTGTATTGAAAACATAAGATGGTTTCTGTAGCCTTCTTAGCGTAAAAAGTTTTTAAGCTGATTAACCTAAATGTGTATAAAGGATAGAGACTTCAGTTTTAAGACATTTTAAATACAAGATATTGTATCTCATGTGAACTCTTAAAAGACATTTTTATTGACAATTTTTATTTTATTGTTTTATTAATATTATTTTAATGTTGTTTTGTTTTTAAATAAGTATTTGACGTTTTGAATTTTAATATTCGGTGAAGTACTAAAACGGTTTCCAATTCTTTCTACATTTTATTTAAAGATATTAAAAGATATATTAAAAATGTGAAGATGTCGGAGTGAAATGTTTCAAATGATTGCGCTGAAATTGCGGTTAAAAAATTAAATGTAATAATAAAAATGAAATGTAATGCAGCGCAAAAGGTTAACGAATTAAATGGAATGGAATTTCTAAAACGTTCAGAAGGAACTGACAATTTATACGATATGTATTAAAAAAAAAAAAATTTCATTTGTGTAAAACAAATGAAATTGACAGATGAAAACACATTTGTCATTTTTATTTCATTCGAATAATTTGAAATTCCTGTAAAACATCAGCACGAGCAGGAGCAGGAACAGGAACAGGAGCAGACGGAGTATCAGGTTCATAAACGAAAGAGAAAGGGAAAGCTTTACTGTTGCTGTCTCACAGAACTCAATGAATTTAATTTAAAAAAAAAATGCTAATATATGACAACATATGATTATTGATAACATCAACATTAACATTAACACCAACAGTAAAAGGAGCAACATTCCCATATATTTCTCGCTTGTAACCTAGTGTAAATGAACATCGAAATGATTCACGGATAAGCCGTTTGTTTCACGCATTGCTACCGCATCCTTAAGTCCTGTGTCACTTTTTGCGTGCGTTTGCCTTACCTTCATGGTTCAACTACTTGCAATAGTCGAAGATATGTAGCAGTTTTCCAACTCACAACGATTCGAATGTCGTACGTAAATCAACATGTGAAAAAGTAGAAAATTGTTAAGCACTGCAGAAAATCGCTTGACAACAATTCTTAATAAGAGTTTTTCCACTGCAACATGAGATTGGCAGCATTGCTACAAACGTAGCTGTCGTACCAGTCGTACCAGTCGTAGGAGTGGTATTACCAGGTGTAGAAGTTTTTTAGCGCTTTTTGTTTGTTTAATGAATACGTACAGTTTAAGTTATCCTTGACGTTTGTCTTGGGAATTTAATCAAATTTTAATACAAATTATTTGTTAAGGAAAGAAAAACCGTGAAGAAATTACTCAGTAACACCTTTGGATACAGGGAGGGATCACAACTCCCTCGTGTTTCGTGCAAAGTTAACGAAGCTTGTAATTAAATACTGAGGCAGTCATTTAAGAAATGCTTATTAGGCGTATGTAATTGTCTTATATATACGATGACTTTATTTAATGCCAAAGGGAACATTTTCAAATACGTGTTCAAAAATCATTTTATCTATTCATTTAGTATTCATTAAATTAATTAAGTTTAAAGTGTAAATAGTATTTGAGATACACAATAAAACAACAATAGCAGATTCTGTGTACTATTTAAAAAATGTTTAAACTTTTAATTGGCTCAGAAGTACTCGCACGAAATTCTGACTACAGTATCATCAGTGTTGTTTAACGTGGGTACTTGCCTTGACGCCTTAAAACTACGGTGCTCTACAAACACATGTTTCAAAATAATGAGTCGATAAACGCCCCATTGGAAATTCCATGGTATTTCTACCGGACCAATGAAGTTTTGTATTTAGCACATAACTTCACCTCGTTATGATTGGAAGCCTACCAAAACCTCTGCTGGTCTTTGGGTCACAGCACCCAGTAATGAATACGCATCTCTACGACGAATGTATGACAAATAAATATCTAATCATTATACTCGCAGGTACTAACCACAGCCACTACGATTCCAACTTCAACTGGTCAGCACAGCTGAAGCTGCGGGCCACTGACCCCCGTAGTACCAGATTTACACCTCTGGTCGATAGAAAACCCTTTATATAGATATATTATTTACTACTTATCATAGCTTTGCAGTACTACAACAACATTGATTTGATTTTGTTAAATGTAGTACTGATAAAAATAACTTTTAGTCAACAAATAGTTGATTTTAAAATAAAAAACTTCGAAAATGCAAATCTTAGCTTTCATTTATCACAACATAGAAATCGTTAAACATAGTAGTCATAGAACAACATAGAAATAGGTGGAGATAGCTTCACCTAACTCATTGAAGACACGTAAAGATAACTATTATATTATTGAAAAAAAGATTTTAATATAGTATTATATTGTTTGCAAATATTAAGGATATAGGAGCTTATCGCGAGTCCCTCTTATAAACCGTAACTTAATATATCGAAAGAAAATCATAAAATAGTGGTGTGGTCTGAAAAGTGAAAAGTCTTAAGTTTTTATACAATTTCTAAGACACCTGGCAATACGTATGCCTTGCTCTCTTTGTTACAATATTTTTCTATCTGAATTGTCTAACCATCAAGTATATATAACGAAGTCACATAGTTCAGTTGGCAGTTTGGTTAATTTTTGTAATTAACAGAAGAAAAAAATAATACCATAGGGCACCCAATGAGAGAAAGAGAACACATGAGAATATTTATAGATTTTCAGTACCGAATTTTTAGTCTTGGAGATTAAACTAGTCCAAGAAAAGTTTAATCTTTTCTTGGACTAAACTGAATGTAATGAATGTAAATAAAATCGTAGTCCAGATACCGCAAACAAACTCAGCTTCCTCAAGTATTGACCCTTAATAAATATGCTAATCAAATAATCTATAAAATCCGTCAGATCGATTCTGCTGATAAAGAATACATCTGTGTCTGTGAATAAACTGAAATCTGTAAAAACCTTTGAACTTTTCACTATCGAAGAAAAACAGCACCAATCGTACTAAACGCTTTAATTTTTTTCTTTTACCTCAAGAAGTGAAGCTAAATGAATCACTAATGAGTTCGTAAATTTTTGTTTTAATAAAATCCTTTTATTAACTACCCTATTAGCAGTGAGAAGTTGCTATATTAATTTAAAAATTAATAATCACTAAACATTAGAACAAAATTATAAGATTTTATTCTTGGATAACATTTGGATCTGCAAAATTAATTTTATACGAAATTAAGAAAATATCAGCAATGAAAATTTTGGAAATCAAAAATCATCTCTTTTACTTCAGATTATTTCGAAA